CCAATTGGTAGAGCAAAAAGACAAAAAGGTGGACAATAGGAAAGATGAGAAATTAGAGGCTTAGTCCAGGAGCTTCAACCTCTGAATAATAGGCAGTCCAGAGAGGACAGAGAAATAGGAAAAAAATCCACAACAAAGTAATTCAAAAACATTTCCCAGGACTGAAGGGCATGAGTTACCAAAGTGAAGTCAACACGAAGTGAAAAGAGACCCAGGCACCTCACTGTGGTATTTCAGAACACCTGGAATAAAATGAACAAGTTCAAAAGGTCACCTACAGGGACACATCACATGACTTTGCACTCAACGGCAACGCTGGGGACAAGATGATGGAGTATTACCTTTAAAGCTCTGAAGGAAAAATTTTTCCTGACCTAGAATTCTATATTTAGCTAAACCCTCAATCAAGTGTGAGTAATAGTCATTTTCAGACATGTAAGTTCTCAAAAAATTTACCCTCTGCTATGGACTAATGTTTGTGTCTTTCAAAACCAATTTGTGTAACCCCCAATGTGATGGTATGAGGAGCAAGACCTTTGGGAAGTGATTAGGTCATGAGGGTGGAACCCTCGTGATGGGATTAGTGCCCTTCTGAAGGAGGCACCAGAGAGCTGCCTTGCCTCTTCCACCACGTGAGGACATGGAAGACTGCCAAGTGTGAACCAGGAAGCAGGCCTTCCCCAGACACCGAAACTTCCCAGCCTCCAGAGCTGTGAGAAGTAAATTTCCGGTTTTTATAAGCTACCCAGTTTATTACTATTATTTTGTTATAGCAGCCTGAATGGACTAAGACACCTCCTAAACACCTTTTCTCAAGAAAAACGTGCTTCACCAAAACAGAAAAGGAAACTCAGAAGAAGAAAGACACAGATACAGGAAACAGGAGCCCCACACATGAGATGAGAAGGAATTACTTGTGGAATGGTGAAAAGTGATCCCAGGATTACAGCTCTGCACTGTATGTGGAAGGCAACAAGCCATACTGCAGCCATGTGACCCAGGAGGTAGACTGTCATCACCAAGACCCCACTTCCATTGGGCCACCTTTCTAACCTGAGGACAGAATGCCCAGGAGAGCTTGTCCAGATTCCCATCAGTATGTGGCTTGTCTTAACATGTATTGATGAGGGTCTCTCTTCTCTGCTCTCCTGGGAACATGCAGATCACAGAAGTTCCCAGCTTTTCCCTGAGAGTTGGAGGCAGGCATGGTGCGCTTAGAAGGAGAAGGCACAGAGCAGCCCCCTTCCTCTGACTGTATTTCTGCTGCGTGTCCAGTGCCTGGTCCCGCCACACAACCAACTGTGCTGAGCTGAGTGTTTCCCAAGACTCCCTCATGACCTTCCTCACGACTTCCCCAGAAGAGGCCTGTCCACTTCCAGAGAAGCGGAAGTCGGACCATGACCTGGGGACTGACTGTTCAACTCACTTAGTCCTTGAGCCTCTGCCCACCAGGGGCAGTGACGCCTTCTCCTTACACACTAGTGTGTGCTTGCCCTCCATTTTCTAAACTAGCCAGTAGAGTGTTTCTAAACATGCAGGTAGGACTCTGAGGAAATGCAGGGGAACGATTAGCACAAAAGTCAGAATGGTCGTCACCTCTTGGGCATAAGGATGAAATATATTTTTCTGGGTTTTGTCCAGATAAAAATGTTCTGGCTAGGGTCGACCCCGTGGCTCACTCAGGAGAGTGCGGCGCCCCGCCGCGGGTTCGGATCCTATATAGGGATGGCCGGTGCGCTCACTGGCTGAGTGCAGTGCGGGCGACACCAAGCCAAGGGTTGCGATCCCCTTACCGGTGTCTCTCACACACACACACACACACACACACACACACACACGTCTCTCTCTCTCACACACACACACACACACACACACACGTGTCTCTCTCTCTCACACACACACACACACACACAGTGTCTCTCTCTCTCTCTCTCACACACACACACACACACACATGTCTCTCTCTCTCTCACACACACACACACACGTGTCTCTCTCTCTCTCACACACACACACACACATCTCTCTCTCTCACACACACACACACACACACACACACACACACACACACGTACGTTCTGGCTAGTTTGTAAACAGTCTCCTAATCTCAGAAGTTGTATTGGCCATGGTTCGGTCAGTAAGACAGAGACTAGTCTAGGCATGTCCATTAGGACTTAACTCCTGATTAATTTGTGAGGACTGCAGGATGGAGTCAGGAGAGCTACTGCAGCCCGTGGGTTCCAGACAGCTCTCCAGAGCTGGAATTTTGGAGGAGCTGCAAGAAACATATTTGTGGCTGCCCCTGCCTGGAATGCTAAGGTGGGCAAATTTTGGGGAGCACCTAAGGGTCATAGTAGAACCCCCTATCTGCCTCTGCCAGAAAGAAATAAGTAATATGATTTCTGCCTCGCCACTATCTTCTAAATTTCCCATAAGTGCATCTCACTAGTGGAATTTAACCTGAAAATGTAGTTCTCAGATTTCCAACCCCTGTGATACAGGGGAGAGCACAGAAGAGGATGGGAAAGTTGCGAGGAGCCCACAGGTAACGCAGAGCAAAGGTTTACTGAGATTCTAGCGCTGCATGCACCAATTAGTTGTTATGAAGACATCACTCACGTGTGATAGTACTTATGAGCGTGCTTCAAAAAGTTCATGGAGAGATGTATATTATTTTTTGATTCCACTTCCACGGACTTTTTGAAGTATCCTCTTATGTAGGGAGCCTAAATTCCAACCTTCAGAACTCTGTCTTTGGCTTTCTATCTTCCTGACTGATTGTATTAATAAAATCAGTGGCTATAATAGGCTCATTGAAAAAAAATACAAATTTGAGAGTTTCATCCTCTATCTTGCTTCCAGGCTCTGGGTGACAATCTCGGGCAGCACCACAGGGCCCGACCGCCTTCAGATTCAGCAGACCCTCAGCTCAGAGTCCCAAATCCTCTGCATTTTACTGTATCCTCACATTTGTACTAGAAGGATGCAGGTCGTGAGTGTGTGGACAATGCCAGTGGTTACTAACACCAAGGGCTACTCCCAATAGGCACTGCTGAGCTTCTGCGGCGTTCTCAAAACCCAAAGCACGCAAAAAGAACGGGGTTAGCAAAATCCAAACACGTAAGACAAAAAAAAAAAAAAAAAAATTGTACTGTCTTTATTGTCTTACAATTGCATAGTACTTTGATTGTGCACGCTTTCAAACAGAGAGCAAGGTAGCCCACTTGAAACTATTCTCTTGCATGGGATATTTCAAGCTGTTTTACCACGGTCGGGGAGCAGGGACCAAAATGCTGCCTGGGCTTTAAAAGAATCATAATCAGATTAAATAGAAGATGGAGAGTTGGAGGGATGTGGGCCATAGATGACAAGGAAATGTTGAAAGAAGTTGAGATTTCAACTGGACTCACAGGAGGCATAGGATGATGGGTGGAGGGGCTTCACTGATGGCAGGGGGTGGGATTTAGGAGCGGCCTAGAGAGGAAAGGAAAGGTGAAAGGAATCCAGAGGGTCAATGCCTTGTGCTCAAATCTGAGATGAATGAGGAGTGAGCCCACAGACAGCCAGGTATGTACAGTCTGGGCATTACCGTGGCTACAGAAAGCCACATACTAGAAAAATAACTTAAAAGCTATACAATCATCATTATAAATATTTTGTCTTTTAAAACTAACTAGTGTTGGTTATAAAAGGTTCACAGTTACTCTGAAGAGAGCTGTATCTCTATTGCACAGTAGTGGAAAAGTCCACTCTGATCCCCATGTGTAAACAATGATTCCCTTCTCCTCTGGCGACTTCAAGGACACAGAGAAACAGTATTTGCTTTAAGCAAAAGCACTTGGGTACAAGGCACGTTGAAGCTGTCAAGCTCTACCGGGAACACGCAGAACACGTGGAACGCTCACTTCTCTCCCAGCGTGGCGTCCCTGCTGCTGGGACAAGTGGTCTTGATTCAGACTAAAGGTGGTGATGTTCTTGTCTTGATCTTGTTCTCATTCCACAGTTACAGATTTGGCCAGATTTCTGGGGAAGTCAACCTAAAATGAAAGAAAGTGGCTGTTCAGGACCCCACAGATTTCAGAAACATGCTGCATGTTAGAGACTATTAACAGAGTACTTAAAGACAAGCAGACAGATGTTCCTGGTCACCTCCAACCATAAACTACCTTGGGACCTGCCTCTTGGAAGCAGATCCTTTACTCCAGAAGCTTCATTTAACTATATAATGCTTAGTTCCTTCAATAAACATTTATTGTGTACCTGATATGTGTCATGCTGTGTTAACACTATTAAAAGAATATGACCCATGCTTTTAAAAATGCTAGCTCAATTTGTCCTGTAAGAAACTTTTCTTNGATACAGGGGAGAGCACAGAAGAGGATGGGAAAGTTGCGAGGAGCCCACAGGTAACGCAGAACAAAGGTTTACTGAGATTCTAGCGCTGCATGCACCAATTAGTTGTTATGAAGACATCACTCAAGTGTGATAGTACTTATGAGGGTGCTTCAGAAAGTTCATGGAGAGATGTATATTATTTTTTGATTCCACTTCCACGGACTTTTTGAAGTATCCTCTTATGTAGGGAGCCTAAATTCCAACCTTCAGAACTCTGTCTTTGGCTTTCTATCTTCCTGACTGATTGTATTAATAAAATCAGTGGCTATAATAGGCTCATTGAAAAAAAATACAAATTTGAGAGTTTCATCCCTCTATCTTGCTTCCAGGCTCTGGGTGACAATCTCGGGCAGCACCACAGGGCCCGACCGCCTTCAGATTCAGCAGACCCTCAGCTCAGAGTCCCAAATCCTCTGCATTTTACTGTATCCTCACATTTGTACTAGAAGGATGCAGGTCGTGAGTGTGTGGACAATGCCAGTGGTTACTAACACCAAGGGCTACTCCCAATAGGCACTGCTGAGCTTCTGCGGCGTTCTCAAAACCCAAAGCACGCAAAAAGAACGGGGTTAGCAAAATCCAAACACGTAAGACAAAAAAAAAAAAAAAAAATTGTACTGTCTTTATTGTCTTACAATTGCATAGTACTTTGATTGTGCACGCTTTCAAACAGAGAGCAAGGTAGCCCACTTGAAACTATTCTCTTGCATGGGATATTTCAAGCTGTTTTACCACGGTCGGGGAGCAGGGACCAAAATGCTGCCTGGGCTTTAAAAGAATCATAATCAGATTAAATAGAAGATGGAGAGTTGGAGGGATGTGGGCCATAGATGACAAGGAAATGTTGAAAGAAGTTGAGATTTCAACTGGACTCACAGGAGGCATAGGATGATGGGTGGAGGGGCTTCACTGATGGCAGGGGGTGGGATTTAGGAGCGGCCTAGAGAGGAAAGGAAAGGTGAAAGGAATCCAGAGGGTCAATGCCTTGTGCTCAAATCTGAGATGAATGAGGAGTGAGCCCACAGACAGCCAGGTATGTACAGTCTGGGCATTACCGTGGCTACAGAAAGCCACATACTAGAAAAATAACTTAAAAGCTATACAATCATCATTATAAATATTTTGTCTTTTAAAACTAACTAGTGTTGGTTATAAAAGGTTCACAGTTACTCTGAAGAGAGCTGTATCTCTATTGCACAGTAGTGGAAAAGTCCACTCTGATCCCCATGTGTAAACAATGATTCCCTTCTCCTCTGGCGACTTCAAGGACACAGAGAAACAGTATTTGCTTTAAGCAAAAGCACTTGGGTACAAGGCACGTTGAAGCTGTCAAGCTCTACCGGGAACACGCAGAACACGTGGAACGCTCACTTCTCTCCCAGCGTGGCGTCCCTGCTGCTGGGACAAGTGGTCTTGATTCAGACTAAAGGTGGTGATGTTCTTGTCTTGATCTTGTTCTCATTCCACAGTTACAGATTTGGCCAGATTTCTGGGGAAGTCAACCTAAAATGAAAGAAAGTGGCTGTTCAGGACCCCACAGATTTCAGAAACATGCTGCATGTTAGAGACTATTAACAGAGTACTTAAAGACAAGCAGACAGATGTTCCTGGTCACCTCCAACCATAAACTACCTTGGGACCTGCCTCTTGGAAGCAGATCCTTTACTCCAGAAGCTTCATTTAACTATATAATGCTTAGTTCCTTCAATAAACATTTATTGTGTACCTGATATGTGTCATGCTGTGTTAACACTATTAAGATGTTCCTGGTCACCTCCAACCATAAACTACCTTGGGACCTGCCTCTTGGAAGCAGATCCCTTACTCCAGAAGCTTCATTTAACTATATAATGCTTAGTTCCTTCAATAAACATTTATTGTGTACCTGATATGTGTTATGCTGTGTTAACACTATTGAAAGAATATGACCCATGCTTTTAAAAATGCTAGCTCAATTTGTCCTGTAAGAAACTTTTCTTGGAAGGATACACAAGAATTCCATGAGAATTGCTAGTTTAGGGTGGGGAGTGGGAAGGAAACATGACTGGGAATGGTTCATCAAATGGGCTTCAACTTTACCTGCAATGTCTTATTTCATTTACAGGTTAAAAAAAGATGAAACAAATATGACAAAATGCTAGCAAATGCCAATTCTGGATGATATGTACACATTATTCTTTGTACTGTTCTGTGTTTTTAAAAGCTTCTCAAAATAAAATTGTTATAAAACCTATTTCTTTGACACAATGAATTGTGTGTTCTTATACGTTTGCTGGTGAGATCATAAACTGGTTCTTTTCTGGAAAGTAATTTGGTAATATATTAGGAGTCTCAAAATGTTGAATCATCTCCTAGACTATGAACAAATCTTAAATGTGGGACACAGATGTACGTACAAAGATGTTCACTGCAGTGTTATTTATGAAGACAAAATATTGGAAATGGTTTAAATAATAGAAGACTAGCTAAGTAATTATTAAAAAATGTTATAAGACTGTGATGAAATATTATGCAACGATTACATGTTGCATATAATGAGTTCATTAAAATGTGGGAAAATACTTGCAATATAATAATAAAAGGAAGATATAAAATTTTATCCTTAATGTAATATTGAAAAATGTTTTTAAAAACCTCACAGGCACAGGAAAAAGACTGGAATAAGACACTAACTTCTAACTAACATTTCCTCTGGAAGATGAAGTTACAGTTTAATGATACATTTCTCTATACAGTTTGATACATTTTCTATTCTTTCATTTCTCTATACATTTTCTTACATTCTCTATACATTTTGCGGTTCCCAGCTTGTCTTCAGCGGGTATAAGCTACTTTAAAAAGAGAGTTACCTTAACTAAAATTATTTCTCCTATGACTATTTACTCCAAAGAAGTATTAAAAGAACAAAAAGGAACTTTGGGGTTATGTTTCTCCTCTTTGCGGTGTTAGGTGCAATTTTGAGACGTACGTCATATCCTCGGAGAACAGCCAGGTGGAAGGAAAGAAGCTGTAGAGGAATCACACTCAGGATGCCCTGCAGGCAGTCCACGGTATGGGGCAGCTCGATTGTTTTATATGCAAACTTGGAACTTTCAGTGTCATCCTTGGAACACAGTATAATTGGGCGACCCTAAAGGAGAAAAATATAATCATAAAATAGATCGATCATCTCTGAAAGAAGCAATCCCTTACACATAGCAGAGTTTCTGGAATCAACATTACTGCAAAGATAACAGTAATCCTTTGTTTTTGCTGAAATTATGGGTGAGGTGATGTGTATGATTCATTTAAGAGAAAAAACTTCGATGCTTTTTGACGTGTTTGTTCCCCTTCCCGGGTAAGGTGATCACCATCCTGCTGTGTCATTCGGCACCTCTCTGTTGAGTGCCTTCAGTGTGCTTTGCAAAGGGCATGGCAGACCCACTCCTAACTCTAATGGGGCTCACAGTCTGGTGGTGGGAAACAAAACAAGCAAACAAAGAAATAAAGATGAATTTCAGATAAATGCCACAAAGGCAATATAATATGGTAATGTGATTGGGAGACGATGGTGAGGTCTTGGAAGGCCTCTCAAAAAAAGGAGACATTTGGATTGAGACCTGAATGATGAGGGGCCAGCTGTCTGAATATCTGTGGAAAGAACATTCCAGGAAGAGGGAACAATCAGTGCAAAGGCTTGGAGGAACGAAATGAGCTCATCATGAATGGGAAACAGGAGAAAGGCTGGAGTGGCCAGAACTCAGTGAGATGGGAGGAAGGAGCCAGATTATGAAGGCTTGATGGGAAGCCACTGGAGGGTTTAAGCGGGGAGATAATGCAATTGTGTTTTATAGTGTCTCTCTGACTGTTATACTGAGCCAGTGGTGGCAGCTGGCTGGAGCACCCTATTTTATCTTAACTCCCAAGATAAATCTGTGGGGGCTTTTTAAGCGGGGAGATAATGCAATTGTGTTTTATAGTGTCTCTCTGACTGTTATACTGAGCCAATGGTGGCAGCTGGCTGGAGCACCCCATTTTATTTTAACTCCCAAGAAAAATCTGTGGGGGCTCAAGATAAATCTGTGGGGGCTTTGCCTTCCCACTGCAGGGCAGCTGTTATACAATATAGAGTTTGGCTGGTGTTCTTCCCTGGTTCCCAGGAGGGAGCCTCTAAACCCTTGGACTTTCTTGAGTGATAGAAATGTCTTTGTTATTCACGGTGGATCCTTGGGGCTACATCTGAGTTTATGCTAACAAGGTGACTCATGGGGGAGGCCCATAGGTAGTTTCAGGATGGGGACTGACCATGCCAGAAAGACCAACCACATGATTAGAGGGTTGGGACTGTAGGCCACATGTTATCAGCCTGACGTCCCAACCTCCAAGGACACAAGGGGGGCTGGAAATTGAGTTCAAGTCATATGGCCAAGGACCCACTCAATCAGGCCTACTTAATGAAACCCCAATAAAAGCTCTGGACACTGAAGCTAGAAGCTCAGATGAGTTCCCTGGTGATACACACTGATGTACCGGGAGGGTGACACATCCTAACATAGAAGCTTCACTTTTGGGACCCTCACACTTTGGATCTCTTCTTTTGGGCTGGTTGTGATTTGTGTCTTTTGTAACAAAACTAAAATCATAAGTATAGTGCTTTTCTGAGTTCTCTGAAGCATTCTAGATAATTATCGAACATGAGGGAATAGTGGGAACTCCTGAATTTGTAGCCAGTTGGTTAGAAACATAGGTAAACTGTGAATCCCTGAGCTTGCAGCTGGTATCTGAAGTGAGGTCAGTCTTGTGCAAGTCTGTGCCCTTAGCCTGTGTAATTTAACCTAACTCCATGTAATTAGCATCAGAACTGTATCACAGCAGTCTTGGGAAATCCTTGCCCCTGGGACTATCTCATCTGGTGGTCTCCAGGCCTAGGATCCAGGGCAACTCAGAGCAGTCTAGGTCACTGAGGAGCTGTTGTGGGCATGGCTGCAGGCTGGCCAGTTTCTTCCAAATGTGTGCGTAAGTGGGCCCAGGAGAGAATGTGTGGTCCCACCCTCTCACTGGCAGGACAATCCACAGACAGTACTAGCAGACACTGAGAAGTAGGCATGTACAGAGAAGAACAGAAGTAGCCCCAGCCCAGAGAAGGGCTCTTACCTGGCGGGCTGTGACTTGCTGCAGGGCATTCTGGCATTTGGCGAAGCAAGGATCTTTCATGATGACCATGATGACAGGCATCTGCTTGTCAATCAGCGCCAGGGGCCCATGCTTCAGCTCCCCAGCCAGAATACCTTCTGAGTGCATGTAGGTTATCTCTTTAATTTTCTGGGGAAACAGGAGGTGGGATCAGAGTCACACTGGGTAGACAGGGGGCTGGAGAAGATCAGCTAGCCAGAGGGAAAGCAGGGGAGCCAAGGGAGGGATATTTCTGGAAGGCAGAGAGCTGAGGGATGCAAGACACGGGTGTTTGGAATGGTCAGGAGGGCACCTGGCAAGAGCAGGGCCAAGGGAGAGGTCTGGCTACTGTCCAGAGCATGTACAAAGCCTGGCCCTGAGCACTGCAGCTCCATCTTTCAGTTCCATGCAGAGCCACCCCCTTTGGATGGACAAGTCGGTATCAGTCTACCTGCCCCCTTCCCCCTGTAGCCAGCCACATGGCCTCTCTGCAGTTTTTTTATAATGAGAGCATTGCATTCTGCTCAGATATACCTGCGTCAGTTATTTGATGAATCATTCCCCCAATTTTAGACCCTTAATAACTTCCAAAGGGTTGCTCCAACTGACCTATCAAGCAAAATCACACACCTTAGGCTGTAATTTGAATTTTTTCCTATGTTCAGGTAGATTCATTTTTATTCAGTTACTATTAAATCCACATCATTGAGCTGATGAGAGTGTCAAGGAAAACATCTCTCAACTCCCCTAGAACTATGTATTTGGGCCAGGGAAACACTGTAAGGGGTGGGGCTCCTCCCTGGAGGCTTCAGGCAGCTGGAGCACCAGCCTCAAGTGACCACAGAGGGGCCATTGACTTGTGCCAGCAGCCGCCTAAACGCTTCTTTCTTTCCCCAAAGACTAAATTGCAGGCGCAGTTGAATATGCATCTTTCACCAGCTCGCTCAGCCATTGCAGCTGAGTCCCCCCACGCAGGCGGCACAGCCATCAGGGCACTGAAAGCACACTCCACCCAGGCCTGGCCTGACAAGCAGCGTGATGTAGCCTCTCACTTCCTCTGGCAGGAGTCAGGATCTCCATGGGACCATGTGGAAGTTGGAGTTCCCTGAGGTCAGGCATGCACTCCCAACCAACAGCATGAGTAACACCCTGTGATGTTTCTTGTGAACCACCTGCACGGGCATTGTCTTTCCAATGGGAGTGGTGGGAGGGAGTGGATGATGCCCTGGTCTTGGTGCCCAATGCCGCCTCACCTGGACTGTCTCCTGTTTACCTTGGCTGGGCAGTCTGATCCACAAACAGCAAGCTAGTAGTGAGTAAAGGGCAAGCACGTGACTCAGGCCCCTGCACAGCTTTCTGCTCACCCTCTCTGTAGCCATATGGTCCTGGCACCTTGCCCCTGCCCCATCAGCTTTCTTTTACGCTTGCATGGATCTATATTGCCTCAGTGGGCAAAACAGTCCATCACTAATTTACAAAATACAGGACCTTTGAAGGTCATTGCTGCACGATCTCAAGCTCCCCTTGGATGTTTGAGCAGTAACGAGGAAATTCTGCACAGACCCCATCCTGTAATTCTGGTTTGCCTAAATCCTCCCACACAGACTGCTTGTGGTAGTGGAAAAAAGCAAAGGCCACATGGACCTGAGTTCGATTCAGTTCCTCTGTGTAATCTTAAGCAACATACTTGAACTTTTGGAGGCTTAGTTTCCTCCTGGGATGTTCATGAGGTATGAATGAGCTATTCCAGATGGAGCCTGGCATGGGCCAGACACCTTGAGGAGCTCACCCAAGGGTGCCCTGTCCCCTTCTTCTAATAGATTGGGAACTCCTTGGGGGCAGGCACCTGCCTCACTCATCTTTGTGTTCCTTGGCCTAGAACGAGCTGGTCAAGAGCTGGTGCTCAATGCAGGCTTATGGGGGCGGCCAAGGGGTCCATGAGCCCTCCACTCCTTCTAATAGATTGGGAACTCCTTGGGGGCAGGCACCTGCCTCACTCATCTTTGTGTTCCTTGGTCTAGAACGAGCTGGTCAAGAGCTGGTGCTCAATGCAGGCTTATGGGGGCGGCCAAGGGGTCCATGAGCCCTCCACTCCTCAAGTTCAGTGCTCTGCCTTCCTTCCCGCTGGTTTTTTGGGTGTCTCCTGTGTCTGCCCTCATGTTGCCCCAGGGATGGGGAGGGGCACTCACCAGGGCTCCTTCCAGGCATGTGGCATAGTTGTAGCCCCGCCCCATCACCAGGAGCGACCTCTGTGTGTAGAGCTCCAGAGCCAGGTCATGGATCTTCTCATCCAGAGACAATACTTCCTTGATCAGCTCTAAGCCACGCATAGAGAAAAGGGAGAAAGCCAGTCATTCCGATTTTAAACAGTATTCATATGGAAAAATTATAGTGGGTAAGACAAGGTTTTGGAACTCACATCAGTTCCTACACTTTGCTCCCTTGCATTAGCTGAGAAAGGTTTTAAACTTAGATTGTGGGAAATAACTTGGGTTACTGGGCAGGATTTTGTTGGGATGGTGATTCATATTTGTGTAAATACTTTCTCGAGCACCAGTAAGGTAGGTAGGGAAATATTATTTCTAGATACATTTTATAGGTGAAGCAACTGAGGGTCAGAGAAGCGAAATCACCAGCCCGCATGACACGGAACTGACACTCCATATTAATGCTCCTCTTACCTGCCATGTGCTGTGTCTTAAGACAAAGCCAGCGTAAGCTGGACCGGTGGTTCTCAAACTTTTTGGTCTCAGAACTCCTTTACTCTCTTAAAAATTATTGCAAATCCCTAAGAGGCTTTGTTTTTGTGGGTTATATCTATAAATATTTACCAGATTAGAAAATAACACTGAGAATTTAAAAAAATAAATTAATTCATTTAATAATAACAATAACAAATCCATTACATTACTATATTTTCCAAAAAAATTAGTGAGAAGAGTGACATTGTTTTACATTTTTGCAAATCTTTTTAATGCCTGACTTTTTAAGAAAAGAGAGTTGACTCTCATATATGCTTCTGCATTCAAACTGTTGTGATATGTTCTTTAGATTGAAGTATAGGAATAAAATCTGGCCTCAAAGAGATTTGTAGTTGGAAAAGGGAGGAGTATTTAAATAACTTTTTCAAATAATTGTGAATATTCTTTGATACTACATCCAACTCAAAAAGTGGCAGTTTCTTAAAAGGGTAGTTGCAAATGTGAAATCTGAAACCATATCAATAAACTTTTTTTTTATTACATTAAAATTCACTGGTCTATCTTGCATTTTAAATGGATCTTTTACATGTACATTATTTTGTAACACCATGCATCAGCCACTAAGTTACACAAATCTTCTAAAAATGTATATATTTCATCATAAAATATATATATATATATATATATATTTTTTATGATGAAATATATACATTTTTAGAAGATTTGTGTAACTTAGTGGCTGATGCATGGTGTTACAAAATAATGTACATGTAAAAGATCCATTTAAAATGCAAGATAGACCAGTGAATTTTAATGTAATAAAATCTGGCCTCAAAGAGATTTGTAGTTGGAAAAGGGAGGAGTATTTAAATAACTTTTTCAAATAATTGTGAATATTCTTTGATACTACATCCAACTCAAAAAGTGGCAGTTTCTTAAAAGGGTAGTTGCAAATGTGAAATCTGAAACCATATCAATAAACTTTTTTTTTATTACATTAAAATTCACTGGTCTATCTTGCATTTTAAATGGATCTTTTACATGTACATTATTTTGTAACACCATGCATCAGCCACTAAGTTACACAAATCTTCTAAAAATGTATATATTTCATCATAAAAAATATATATATATATATATATATTTTTTTTTTTTCTTTTTGTCTTTTTTACTGACCGGTAACGGGATCACAACCCTCCGTGTCGTGCCCGTACCGGGGACCGGCGACGGGATCACAACCCTCAGTGTTGCGCCCGCACCACGCTCAGCCAGTGAGCGGGAACCGGTCTCCACATGGGATCTGAACCCTCGGCGGGAGCGCCTCCACACTCCCAAGCGGCGCCCCCCCCCCAGCGCCCCCCCGCCCGCCCCCCACAAAT